GGTTTGGGTGGTGTTGGCTTTTCTTCCTTCGCACCCCCGCCCGAAGGTATTCTTGTCAGAATTTTTTATTTAATATTGTCCTTTTTTTCACACTGAAGTCTTCAAAAAACGAGAAAAAAATGTGGAGGGAGAGTTTTTGTCGCGTGCAATATTTATATTTATATTTTATATATTTCTAATTTTTTTTCTAAATGTATTTTCCATCATATACTCTTATCTACGAACATAAATGCGATGAACGCTATAACTGTAGTTTTTTTTATTTATTATTTTACTAACTTTTTTTTGCTCTGTGTCCTGTGGATGTTATATCTTTTCTGCGTTTTTATTTACTCCACCATTTCACAGTTTTAAGTAAAATATATTAATTTCGAGTTTTTTTGACATCAAAATAAATTATTTCACAAATGTCTGTTGATAAATACTTTTTTTTCTCTTAGTTTTTTCCCTTTCATATATATACGCAAAGAGTAAGAATGCCAAGTATTCCTTTAGTTGCTGAGCTCGGAGCAAAATCTGAGGAATTTCAGATGCTTCTTAATGGTACAACAGTTTCAACAAATATTGCCGGAAAGTTACGACCTTCTGTTTCCCCCAAAGTCCTTTTTACTCAACAAGATTCTCGGATATTCGTTCGTGCGCGTCCTATTATTGAATTTGATAAACAGAGGCCTAATGATCAAAGTATTGTACAAAAAGTTGAGAATCACAGAGATCTCGTGTTGATGTGTCCGAAAATTTCCCTTTCCGGCTCGTGTACTATTGACCCTTGCGTAGTCAATCTTGATGGTGTTTTTGTTGGTGATACTGATGATACAAAGAAAGTTTATGAAGAATCATGTTCTCCTTTGGTTGCCTTTTCGGTTGAGGGTGCCTCCACTTGTATTATGTGCTACGGGCAGACCGGAAGTGGCAAAACTTATACTATAGCAGGTATTTTTAAATGTATTTCTGAAGATTTGAGTCCCTTCTTTAAAACACACGATATTCTATTGACTGTGCTTGAAATACAATCAAGCAAAAATATAGATCTACTAACTGGAAACGACGTCCAAGTTGCTGAGGATGTTTCTGGTGATTTAAAGCTTTTGGGAACTGAAGGGTTTGAATGTTCAAGTGCTGAAATGCTTATGGCAGCATTTGAAGAAGCTGTATCGTTGCGCTCGACAAAATCAACAGGCCGAAATGAGACATCCTCTCGAACTCACATGGTTTCTTGCATATCAATTGTATCCAAGGAGTCACGGTGGGCCAGGGCTGGGGATCTCTTTTTAGTTGATCTTGCAGGAAGTGAAAATACTGCAGATAGCGCTACCCACGATAAAGTTCGCCAGATTGAGATGAAGTTCATCAATAGCTCTTTGATGACATTAAAAGACTGCATTCGCTCTAGGGCACTTGCTTCAACTAGTTCGCAGCATTTACATATTCCTTATAGACGGTCTCCTTTGACACTCCTACTCAGGGATTGCTTTGAAATTGCAGTTCGAAGACCAACGAAAACAGTTATGATTGCATGTGTCTCACCACTTCTTCGAGACTCTCGCCATACAATTAATACTCTTCGTTATGCTTCACTTCTTGCTGTTACTCCACCTGCAAAGGTAATTGCTATTGACCCAAATGATCCAAATGGATTTGATCGTTCTCAAGCATTAAAATTCCTTATACAAATATCCAAAGGGTTAATAACGATACCAGAGGATATTTTACCTGAAGGTGATGGAAGTACTCTGGTACATTTACCAGAGGGTGAGTTTTTGCGTCGTGTCGCTGAAACACACCCTTCTATCCCGGGAAAAAAAGCCAAGATGATATATACAGCTATCTGGAAGAGAATTGTGGATGCACGAACAAAAGGCCGCAAGGTAATGACAGAGGCTAAACGAATGTCTCGAGGTCCTCGTTGTGCTAATTAGTCTCATTTAACCCTTTTTTTTTTACCTTTGGTGTATATATATATATATATAATTCATTAA